AATATTTTATTTAGAATGCAGTCGAAAGCTTGGAGATTTAAAAAATACCAGAGTTCAGCACTGTGCCTGCTAGTTAAACAGATAAGCAATTCTATTAGAGTTGAGGAAAATAAATTTGGAGTTACTGAGATTCATGTCATGGGAATGACTCAGTTAGGAAATAAAGAGGTGTCCACCTGATTATGTTTGCTGTCATGGTTAATGCTTGTTTACAATTTGATGCTCCACACTGTGTGGATTTTGTAGAAATGCCTAATGGGAAGTGCACAGAAGAAAGTTATGTGTATGGTAGGCTTTAAAACACTTCAGCAAGATGCAGAAGAATGAATGGTTCAGAGCAGGAAGAGGCTATTCTGTATGTGAAAGGACATAACTAATAAAAAACACTAAGTTATACCTGTTCATAAATGTAAACCCTGGTTTTGTGAAACAGCGAAGCTGAAAACAATTGATATTTATTCATACAAGTTGTTGGTGAATATGTATAAACTTAAGTAAACTGTGAGAGTGAACTTCTCACAGATGATATTTCCACTTTATACTGTATAAAACAGATCAATTTTTTTTTTTTTTCTTCAATATCTTTACAAATGTTTGGGCTTATTTTTGTAAACAATGGAAAATCTTAATCTTCCTTTTCTAGTTATGTATATATGAATTTTTTAGGACTATGTTCACAGAAAATGTCTCCAGTAATATTAATCAGCTGAAGAGGTTGTCACTTACTGATTCGAAATGTATTTTATATTTAATTCTGCTCTTCCCTACTAAGCTCACTGTAGGAGCACAGCTGTGAGTTTAGTAGTCTCCTTCAGACAGTGTTCTGATCTGATCAACATGGAAATTGATTTCCTTCATCCTGATAGAAGTTCCACAGAATGCTTATGCGGAAGTATGAGTGGGAGGTAGTCTGCAGTTCTTAAAACAAGACGTACTGATAGAGCTTGTCAGCTGGGGCTTCAAATCAGAGACCTTCATCACTGTATCTTCCCTTGAATCAGAGCAGGATCACATAATCAAAATAAATAACGAACTCCAGGTGATCTGATGAAGTTGTCTTGTGATTTGATCAAATATTGGCATTTTGTCATGATTGTTTTCCAGGAACATTTTTTAATATTAGACTATTGCTAGATTTATACCTCCTCTAAAAGATGCCATGTGGGCATTTTCCCTTCTTCCAAATAAGTTCTAGAGATAAAATCACCAATGTTATTGCTATGATTTCAAATACAATGCTTACTTTTTGGCTGTGATCTTACTGTTTTAAGTGAAGGGAGTTAATTGACCCTTTTCTACTAACCACATGCCACATTCACCTAAGACTAAATCAAGTTTGGAAGGATTTGATTCCAGTTAAGCTCTTGAAAGATCAGGCGTGCTTTAAGCTGACAGTTGAAAAGGCAGAATGTTGTACAAGCTTATGAAAAATTGATGCTGGATTCTGGAGCAATTCTGAAGATCAAAAATTTTTTTTGGAGTATCTTTTCAGGTTTTTAAACCTAAAAAAAAATCACATTTTTAAACAAAAAAGAAAGATTTTGAAAGTGTTACTAAATGATGCATTGCCGTTTTTAGGTCTTTTTCATTCAACTGCTGCATTCCTCAAACTTTTTTTCCCCCATTAAGTGCTAATATATTCTATGTCAGCTATGCTCTATTTTCCTTTCTAAGATTTTTTTCTCTATCTAGCTTTCTGTCAGACCAGAGACTCAGTAAATTAACTTTGGCTGATATCTGTAGTCACAGAATAATTTCATCATTTCCTACTACAATCTTTACATGAAAGACTTCAGTATCCTTTCTACTATCAATTTTACTTTCCAGCTTCTCTAAGCCTGTCAGTGCCTGAAGATATGAGCCACACCTGCTGAAGATGACTTGCTCAGCAGCACTGAAATTTAGCCTTGTTGACTTCAGGAATCACAGGATTTAATTTTGTGCTTTCTTTGAATTCAATAAATTTAGTTGTTTTCAGTACGGTTGCTTTGAATAAAATATAGAAGAAATCCGAGTCGCTTACATTTTTATAATTTCCAAAATAATTGCTGATTTTTAAATATCTGAATTTGTACGATAATTTTAAAGAAAACCATTATCAAAATAAAATTGTAGTTATCCAGGGGATATATGCTTCTGACAGTTTTGGAGAAATCTCAATAGTTCTTAAATTCATCTTAAATATGTACTTTCTAACCTTGATTTAGAAAGTACATATTTCTAAATTGATTTATGTCCATCTCTGAATATATTTATTCATTTTTAAATTAAGATATTTTCTCCAGGTGTCATTGGCTGCAATTTGGATTATTGGAATCTCACAACATTTCTCAGCTTATGTTTTCTGTTCTCTTCTTTTTTCCTTATTTCTCAGTGTGGGTCCATGTTTGTTCTTCTACTCAGTTGGTATCAATTATCACCAGCACGATGGTGCAGCTAGAGCTAGTGCTTACAGATATTCTGTTCAGATGTTATGAACCAAAGTATTCTTCTGTCACTGTGATAAAAACAAAAGGGGAAGCAAAAATGTAGGAAAAATTCTTTGTGACAGTGGTAGGCATACAAAAACATTATTTATCATTCCAAGATTTATTACTAATGGATTGATTACAGTTTTAGCTCAGTGTATGTCATAAGCATCAAAACATGTTTCTGAAGTCAGAAAATACAGCCTGTTTTTTACAAAAAATGTTTAAGAATTGTTATTCTCTACAAGTTTTTGCTTATAATGAAATTCTTTGAATATCTGTGAAACTGTGTCTAAAGTGTATGTTACTTACATCTGGCTTATGAGAATGCTCAGGGATTGTCATATCTTATGCCCAACTTTTCATGATACAACTGAGCAGAGTGAGATTGTGTTTTGTTAGTTTTGGCAGCCTAAAAAATAGGTCTCATCATGCCTTCAGAAGAAAATGATGAGAATATTTTTACAGTAAAAAGGTAGAACCTTTAAATAGTCTGTGCAATACAAGAAAAGTTAGGAACTGTCAGCAATAATCAGCATTTTTAGAATGTTTCCCAAATGTTGTTCCATAAAGTAAGGTAACTTGGTTATATATATGAGGGATGAGTTTGTGTCATAATTCCAGTTCTTCCTAGTTATTTGCATGGGAACTGTTAATTTTCCATATGAGCAATTCCATTAGCTGACTGAGAGAAGCTGTGAGACTTTTTTCTTCTGCAAGATACAGAGGGACAATTCACGAAAGGCTTTTGTTATTGGAAAATTAATGTTTGGCTTGATATTGTTGATAGATTGTTTGTTTTAAGGAAATTTACAAAATTCCATGATGCTTTCTAAAAGTTTGTTTGAAGACACTTTGTCAAGACTTTTTAAAAATTGTTTCTTATGCTTTAGGAATTGGTAGGGGAAAAGTATAATAAGTATAATAATGTTACTGAACATCTTTGTAGTCATCACCAAGGAAAAAAACTTCCTCTCTCTTTCCTGTGGAAATACTGAGAAGAGTATACTGGAATGCCGTTTCCAACCCCGTAAGTGGGCTGACCCATTGGATATTTGGTGATACTAAAAGGATGTATCATTCTGTGTCTGTCATAAAAGCCCTTTTCGGGCAAACACAGATGATATGTCTTAGAGCTGTCCCCTTGGAGAGCGCCTGAGAGACAACAGAGACAGACAGTGCTGTCATCTGTTTTTCAAGAATGTGTGTTCCTGCAAAAGCCCAGCATTATTCTGTTTTTCTCATGAGATGAATCAATTTCATGGATATATGTGATTAAAGACAATTTACCAGGCTTGAATTGGGCTAATGCAGTATTGTAACAAGATCACACTCCAGTAAGGATTGCTGTAGTGTATTTTTGCTCCCACATTTTAAGTTCTTTGTCATAATCCCTGGCCTCAGTTAGAAGAGGCAGGTGAAGCCAACAATACAATTTGGTGATTATTCTATTTAAATGTGAGACTGAAAACAGTGAAAGTACCACAGCAACTTGAGATAACACCAGATCCCAGAGAACCTTGTCCCTGAGTCCTTGCATCTGACCCCTTGGCTCTTTCTTCTCCCTTCCTGTTTTGCCTCTCAGCAGTGAGCTCAGATAGCATGAACTGAGTAGTTCCTCTCACCTGTAGGAGAAAACCACTAAACTAGCTCTAATCTGCATCACAAGTGTTTTGAGGTAGTTTCCACAAAGTACAAATGCTTTTTGGGGAGTGAATATTTGTCACAGGTGGTTTCAAAGGAATCAGTGAGCACAGAGCTGGCATGGTCTTTCCCATGTCCATCGTACTGTTTCTGATATGAACAGTGTGTTCTGCACATAAGTTATTCGGGTCAGACCTGAACCATGTAAGGCAAAAGAAACCATAGCAAGTACAAACTGTGCTGCTCTGACATTCTCAACAAATCAGGCACAGAATTTGCCAAAACACAGGAAAAAAACGTGTTTTGTAACTCCTGAAAAATAACAAGCCAAACAGAAAACCTCACCTGTTCTTCATCGTATGTATTTAGACTATTTCAGTGTTTCTCCATCAGCTATGCAAAGAACTCATTGACATTCTCACCATTTATAGTTTGATCTATAACTGCATTTTTCAGTCAGCGAAGTTAGCATCTAGCAAAATTGTGCTGCAATTAACAAAACATGAGTTATTTGAATATGGAAAGGAAATTGTTGCGCATATTCAATTGCTCTTTAGTGATCTTTATTTTCAGTGTGTGACAGAAATTAATTTGGGGAAATGTATCACAGTTGCTGATAGCTATCTGATTTATGCATATGTTGCTTTGCCAATGCAGCATCAAGCTGTTAAGAGAGTTTCTTTGGTCAGTATTTCATTTTCATTTTCATAAAGGCTAACAGTATCTTCTGTTAGCCCATTAGCAGGATTATAAAACTTGAAACACACATAGTAATAAATCTTCTCCAATTATCAAGTTGTAAGAAGCAGCTTATTGGTAATTTCAAAGTATATTCAAAGTGTATTAGCTCACTCCCTGACGTGAGAACCCATCCTTCTTTGTAAACAGAGCAGAGATTGCCTAAAGCTGGGCCCACCTGCAGAGGGAGAGGTTGTTCAAGTGAAGTGGCCTGATGGAAAGCTGTATGGTGCAAAGTATCTGGGACCAAACACAGCTCACATGTATCAGGTGAGTGTCTATATTTATTACCAGATGCCTATTTTTGAGATGTCTTTATTGCTTATTCAGCTCTAGCATTGGAGTGGCAGACCACAAGTTCAGAGCTGCAGGAATATGGACTAAATTGTAAACTACTGATGCCTTTAAACCAGCACATAATGCTGTCTAAAACATTAACTAGTACTGTGCATTTCTTCCGAGTTGATGTTTTGCTTGATCCCATGAAATTAAAAAGAATGATTTTTTAATAGAACTCAATCAGTAGTCTTCACAGAATCACAGAATCACAGAATTGCAGGGGTTGGAAGGGACCTCTAGAGATCATTGAGACCAACCCCCCTGCCAAAGCAGGTTCCCTACACCAGGTCGCACAGGTAGGCGTCCAGGCAGGTCTTGAACATCTCCAGAGAAGGAGACTCCACCACCTCCCTGGGCAGCCTGTTCCAGTGCTCCGTCACCTCACTGTAAAGAAGTTCCTTCGCACATTTGTGTGGAACTTCCTATGCTGCAGTTTCCAGCCGTTTCCCCTTTTCCTGTCTCCATTCACCACTGAAAAGAGTCCAGCCTCGCCATTCTGCCCCCACACCTCAGATATTTATAGACCTGGATTAGATCCCCTCTCAGTCTTCTTTTCTCAAGGCTAAACAGACCCAGTTCACTCAGCCTTTCCTCATAGGAGAGATGCTCCAGGCCCTTCACCATCTTTGTGGCCCTCCGCTGGACTCTTTCCAAGAGATCCCTGTCTTTTTTGTACTGGGGAGCCCAGAACTGCACGCAGTACTCCAGATGAGGCCTTACCAGGGCAGAGTAGAGGGGGAGGATCACTTCCCTCGACCTGCTGGCCACACTCTTTTTAATGCACCCCAGGATGCCATTGGCCTTTTTGGCCACAAGGGCACACTGCTGGCTCATGGCCAACCTGTCGTCCACCAGGACACCCAGGTCCCTCTCTGCAGAGCTCCTCTCCAGCAGCTCATCCCCCAACCTGTACTGGTGCATGCAATTATTCCTCCCCAGATGCAAGACTCTACACTTGCTTTTGTTAAACCTCATCTGGTTTCTTACTGCCCAGCTTTCCAGCCTGTCCAGGTCTCGCTGAATGGCAGCACAGCCTTCAGGCGTGTCAGCCAATCCTCCCAACTTCGTATCATCAGCAAACTTGCTGAGGGTGGCCACTATCCCCTCATCAAGGTCATTGATGAAGATGTTGAACAAGACCGGACCCAGCACCGACCCCTGGGGGATACCACTGGTTACAGGTCTCCAGCCAGACTCTGTACCATCAACGACGACCCTCTGTGCTCTGCCAGTCAGCCAGTTCTCAACCCACCTCATTGTCCACTCGTCTATCCCACACTTCCTCAGCTTTGTTATAAGGATGTCGTGGGAGACAGTATCAAACACCTTTCTAAAATCATGATAGACTACATCTACCGTTCTCCCCCCATCCATTCAGCATGTGACAACATTTTTCATTTTGTAAGGTGAACAGGTAGAATATTAAGAGAAATAGTTATATTTTTCCAAGTCAATTACTTACTATCTCCAAATTGGTCGTTTATTTATTTGATTTCAGGTAATTACACTATTAATGAGATAAAATCTATTAATAGTTTGTGACCACAACGTGCCCCAGGCATTTTGTGAAAGGATGGAAGGAAAAACAGTAAAAAGAAGAGTGAAAATAGCTGCACTTCCATTTGTGCAAGGTACTTTTGAATTAATTAACACATAATCTAAGGAGCATTTTATCCTTAGCAAAGCCAAAATGAAACTGAACACTGCAGCTTTAAAAGCCTTTTAAGGCTAAAAAGCTGACTTCTGATTTCAGAGACACAATAATCGTTGGTTTTTTTTTGTACTTGCCTTTGAGAAAAAATCAGTCAGCAGCTTTGAGTACTGAAGTGAATGGTAGAAACTGCAATAAAACAATCACAATAATAATACTACTTCTGGAAGAATGAGAATCTAGGTACATTTCTTTTATACATATATAATCATTTTCACTTATGTAACTCTTTTCATCTGAAGGCTTCACATTACTGTACAAAAATGGTAAATTTGCTATTATATCTGCAGATAAATTAAGGCACAGGGAGGCTAAATGATATGCTGCATTGACCTTCTCAGTTTGCCAATGACTTGCAATCAAACTCAGGTCTTCAAATGCCTGATCCCTTGAGTTAGTCTCTAAATGTTACCCTTTTGCTTATATTTAGAAGATGTATTATTTTGTGAAAGTGAAAAGTTGTAGTTTTTTCTTTTTTTATGAAATACAAAGATTGTTCTACAGTAACAGTAATCTTCTAATCATTTAATCTTCTAAACAGTTGGTCTTCTAAGGAATACTGTGAGATTAGGTTAATATGGTTGTTTAAAACCAAAATAGTAAAAAAAAAAAAGAGCTTTTTGTCTCATTTAGGACCTCTGAGACAACATGATAAAAGCAATATGATAGAAAATAGACTAGCATAAGGATGTTAGTAGGGTCTGCAGTTTTTGCAGTTCCTCAGCATAGCAGTTATAGGATTATTAAGTTTGGAGAAGACCAGTAAGGTCGTCAAATCGTCGATCCATCACCTCATGAGTTTCCTCATGAATTTCACCGAGGCCCAGTGCCCAAGCCACAAAACCATGTCTCTAAATGCCACATCTGTACATTTCAGGAACGTGCCTCTATCCCTTCCTTGGGTAGCCTCTTTCAATGTGCACCCACACCTTCTGAGAAGAAATTTTTCCAAATATCCAACCTGAACGTCCCGTGGTGCAACTTCAGATCACTATCGTCCTATTGTTGTTACCTAGGAGAAGACTAATCCCACCTCACTACAACCTCCTTTAGGTAGTTGTACTGAAAGATGAGATCTCCTCTTAGATTCCTCTCCTCCAGACTAAACAGTCCCAGTTCCCTCACCCACTACTCAAAAAACTTGTGCTCAAAACCCCTCACTAACTTTGTTGCCCTTCACTGCCCACTCCAGGGCCTCAATATCTTGCTTTTAGTTTTGGAGCCCAAAACTGAACGCAGTACTTGAGGTGTGACCTCTTCCCCACCAGCTCATTTTCTGGCACTGGAGTCAGCCTGTTCCTGTGCATTTATGATAGAATCACAGAATTTTTAGAGTTAGAAAGGATCTTTAAAGGTCATCTGGTCCCAGCTCCCCTTCAGTGAATGGGACATGCGCAGCTAGATCACATTGCCCAGGGCATGATCCAGCCTGGCCTTGAAAGTTTCCCAGGAAGGGCATCAATTACATCTCTGGGCAACCTGTTCCAGTTCCTCACCGCCCTTGCTGTAAAAGATTTTTTCCTTATATCCAACCTAAATTTACCCACTTTAAATTTGAAAGCATTTCCTCTTGTTCTGTCACCACAGACCGTGCTGAAAAGTCTGTCCCCTTCTTTTCTGTAGCTCCCCTTTAGATACTGAAAGGCTGTAATCAGGTCACCTTGCAGCCTTCTCTTTTCCAAGCTGAGCAGCCCCAGCTCTTTCAACCTGTTTTCATAGGAGAGGTAGTGGGTGTTACCTCAACACAGGTGCATGATCTTGTATTTGGATTTGTTCAACCTCATGAGGTTCACCGAGGCCCAGTGCCCAAGCCTGTCTAGGTCCCTCTGGCAAGCATCCTGTCCTTCTGATGTGTTGAATGTGTTGACTGCACCCCACAGCTTGATGTCATCTAGAGACTTGCTAAGGCTGCACCCAACCCCATCAGTGTCATTGATGAAGATAATAAAGCACTTCCAATCCTTCAACTGACTGCCCCAAAACCCCAAAGTTCCTTTTAATAGCCTCAGGCTTCTCTGTTTGACCTCATCATTGCCAACCTGAACTACCTGAAGTGGATAATAAGTATTAGAGACTACTGTGAACTGCTTTTAATAAAACAAACTTTTTAAACAAACTGGGAAAACAGCAAAGATTAAAGTGTCCAAGTTGTACTATGCAGGATTTCTGAAATTTTGTAAGCATTTTAATCTGTATGACAGGACTGCCAAACATGACCACAGATTACAGAAAGTCTGTGGCATGCAAGGTGCAAGATTAACTCTAAGACACGAGTAGTGCTTCTTATTTATCTTATGTGGTTTCCAACACAGCCTGCAGGACACATGCACATACGCACACTGTTTTCTGATCTCTGTTGGACACTTGAGATTCTCATACCAAAAGAATCTCTTACTCTTCCGTGCTCTCTTATATTGTACCACAAAAGGAGAAACTGAAAACGAGTCTCTGAAACAACTGTCATCTGATACAACAAATCTGTTCAAATATCCAAATACAGATAAATCTGTGAATTGTTCTCATGTTCTTGAGACATTTGTACAGAATTTGACAATGCTTATGCATGCAGGAGATATGACAAAATGTGCCAGAATTTGTGTCATCTAGCTTAACATTTGCCATCCAGTTACCCCACACAATCCCCAAGCAGAGTTATACCTGCAAATGGAGTAAGTGTTCATTTTAAATGAAACTGTTAATGATGTCTATCTGTGTGATGTCATTTTTAATGTAGGTATGATTGTTTTCAGTGTTTATTTTAGATTTTCATTTGAGATGATTAAATTATTCACCCTGTTGTTTTCTACATTTTCCACTGATCCTTTAATCTTGTTGTCGTGATGAAAGAAAATCTCATGGAGAGAATAAAGTGGTACACAGACCCAGTGCAACTGCAGAAGTGCAAATAAAATAAATTGCTGGATAAAACAGATGATTGATGATGTAGTATATGCAGTCTGGAATAAGTTTGAGTTATTAGAGACAATGGTTTTGTATTTTGCATGAATCACAAAACAACTGGAAGTCTTAGAGAAGTGCTTATGTTTGCCTTTAACATTATGGCAAATACATTTCCAGCGCAGTTTCATGCTGAATTATAGCTGAAAACTTTCCAGTTGCAAAGTTGAACATATTTCACACAGCAGACTTGTAAAATTCTGTGTTATGAAGCAGTCTCCTCCCTCTTTACCCTGCTATTAAAACAAAAGTCTTTGCCCATTAATTTTCTCATTGCATGGAACCAAGGGATTTTATTTCCTGCCTGATTCTTTCACTGGTGATGCATAACAAGCATTACTGCAGATACGAAGCAAAAACATACTATGAAATGTACTGTGCAGTAAAGAGAAGGAAAAAGAAAGTCTGCTCACAGATAATGGTGAAAAATAATAAAATGGCCATTGTTTAAACAAGTTTAAACCAAAGGGAACTTTATGTTCCACTAGAGTACCACTCACTGACTTGGCCTGTAGGGTTAGTAACAGGAACAGAGGGGCAAAGATTACTTCTGTAATTTTTTTACATATCTTGCTCTGTGGAGTTTTCTTTGGATTTTAAATGTGTTCTGGTTTAATGCACCCCTTTTAAATTGTTTTTAAAGAGATGTTGCTTTTAAAGAAGTTAATAGTTCATACACCTGTACCCTTACTTTTGACAGTGGATATACTCTGTTGGATTCTTCAGTTGTTAAAATTAATCTGACACTCTCAGTCAAGGCAAGGTTTTAATTTGGACCTACAAAACCCACTCCATCTACAACTTCAAATACATGATTTTTCAGATTTATCTATGATAACACTAATAATGTTTTTATATGTTTGCATTTGGACTTATTATTCCAATATGTCTGTTGTCATTCAAGTGGTATCATAAACTGAATGGGACTTCTTTTAAGTTCTTGCCAAACTTTTAAGTACAGTTTCTATAGGAACTAAAACTGCAGTCCTAGATAATAGCTGAAAGTCACAATTGTTAGATGAAGTATGAAAAAAAAATCAGCAGCTACTGAAAAGGCATAAATGCTTCAAAGCCTCAGCATTTTAACATTCCCCACACCTAGTTACATTTCCTTTCTCATTTTCTGCTAACGGGGTTCATGTTGGATTAAATCTAAACCTAAGCATGATAAAGCTTTTCATCTTCTGAACAGAGCATTTTAAAGAAATTCCATCAGATTCAATAAAATTCTGTTAACTGCTATTTCCCTAGTTGTCACTCATACTTAGTTTCTTTTGACATCGTCTTCCTCAACCTTGAAGCACAGGATGTTAAAATTAAATTTATTTATTTATTTATTAGAAGCAAGGAATTAAAATTAGGCAAATTAAAATGACATGAAGACGTTTTAATACATCGGTCCTACAAAAATTATTTTGTCTGTGTTGTTTCTGCTGTGCATTCCTAATAAACTTTATTTTATTGCGTGTGTGTGTCAGTGTTGATTTTGAAGTCTCTTTGCTCAGATGTTTTTTTTGGTCTAATGAACATTCTAAGAAATAACATTTTTTTTCTGTTTTATCTTAATTTCACTAAAATAGAAATTATTTATGTTCAGATCTCTGCTTGCAGATGCATTTTTATTCAGACATTCCCAGAAACTTCCCAGAGTTAAATCATGATTTTTTTTTTAATACTCTTTTTTTTTTTTTTAGGTTGAGTTTGAGGATGGTTCTCAAATATTAATGAAGAGAGAAGAGATCTATACTCTAGATGAAGAGCTTCCTAAAAGAGTGAAAGCCCGTTTTGTGAGTACTTTCTGATAACTTCATGGTATTTACATGCTCAAAATGCCAACAACGCTATCCCTGGCTTTATTCTTACTTTTTATTTTAATTTGTACAGATTTTGCACAGCAATTAGCACAAGTTCACGTTTGCCAGTGAGAAGGATTTGTTGTATTGCTAATACAGGCAAATGCTGCCTAATTCTTGTCTCCCAAAGGAGTCATTGTGGTAGAATATCTGTCAGATCATGAGTAATGTTTTAAATTTTAAAATAGATAAATGTTATGTTCTTTCAGAATGTTTTTATAATGTCCATAGCTTTTGAAAAACTTTCCAAATTGTCAGAGCTTTGAGATTTTAAATGCTTTTAATTTAATAAAAATGCAATTAACTTGTCCTGAGAAACAGAACGCCTGTTTCATGAAAACTCATTAATATCACTAACAGGACTTAGAACATTTCACTGGTCTTTAAAACCAGAGCCTCATATTTTTCCAGTTTCTTGTGGTTCCAGACAACATCCGCTGGTTAACTATATGCCATTCAGAAAACAGCTGAGGTTCCTGAGGAGCAGAAGTTTGAAAAGGGAAAGTTCTGCCATACAGATATTGGAGGAAACAGATCTGTCTTTGTCACTAATGCTAGATGTTTGTGCAGTTCAATTCAATACTAATTCTACTCAGAAATGCGTTGTGCTCATCTCAAGTCCATGTTCTCATTTAGCATTCTTTGTTCAAAACTGTGCCTAGTAAGTTGAATTACCTTACTTAATCTAATAACAAAGCATAAAGATGCTAAGTTGTTCTCATAAATAAGAGAAATAATTCAGTATTGTGTGAAAAAAGGATAACTCTCTTATTAGAAAAATGAAGCTTTGAAAGGGACAACAGTGCATAGTGTAGTTTTCATTGCTGCAAGGTGGCAGGCTCATACACAAAACCTGCTTACATATCTGTTATGTGACATTCATTTGATTTTTGAGAGCTGGGTATGTGGCATGGTACGGGAGTAATGTGTAGACTGGATTCTTCAGGCATATTCAGCTTGGATTAGTTCGATGGCCTAACTAACAGCATCACACATATGTATAGATAAGTAACTTTGACTTCCCTTTTTTTTGCTTCTTGCCTGCTTGCTTCTTCCATCAGTGTCTCCTTTCAGTCAGTCCTCAGCAGCTATCCCTTTTGTGGAGGCTGCACATTTTTGGGCTGTGTCAGGGGCAAGGGTTGTCGTAATGCATGAATGGGGCAGGAAAGTGAGAGGTAGAAGAAAGACAGAGAAAACTGAGGTTGTCAGTGAGTGCCCACTGGCAGGATTTACTGAAGGAGTAGAATGAGATTAGGACAGCTCTTTCCAGTTGGAGGTGCAATAATCAGATATTCCTGACTGAGACAACTTTTGGCCAGTTATTTGTGGTAAATGCAAACATCTTTCAGTGTCCTAATTATCTAGGGTTAGGAAAGATGTCCTGGAAAATGTTGAACAAACCATCTGGATATATTCAATATGTTCTTCAGTGTTTTTTAATTGTATTCAGAACTCAATTGGTTATTTTTTTTTCTTTTTAAGGAGACTACTTACATAAAACTTTTATAATTAATTGCATGTCCTGTAGAACAAAAACTGTTGCATTTCAGTAAGAGTATCATTATGGCCATAACTTTTAAAATATCTTTTAAAAGATATTTTAAATATCTTTTAAAAATGATATTTTTATAGTTCAGTATTTTATTTTTGCATCTGTCACCATACAATTTATATGGACATCAGATATAGGTTAAAAAACACTGAATTTGGTCAGCTACAATATCCAGTCTATACAAAGGCCTTTCCATGATTCTCCACAGTTCCCTCAGGTTCTATAAAAAAAGGATTTATTCCTCAAGGAATGTTTAACACTTCCTTCACCTCCTCATGCTGAATTGTTTCCCCTTTTTGAAATATATGACACCAATTTCTTCTAACCAGAGTTTTTCCTAACTGTGCAAATTTTACCATGACTCAAGTAATAGAAGTTGGTTCCAACCTCTCTGCCACTGCTTTTCCCCAAATGGATTGCTATTTGCCATCCTGCTTCTTTGTCACAGTTGATCCTTTAAGTTTGCTGAGAAACAGCTGTTGGTTTCAGCTCTTAGTAAATCAACTAGCATACAGGTTTGTTAACAGAAATCCTTGAGGTACATTGCACTTAAAACAAATCTGAATAAAACACAGATGTGGATAATACTTGATACTGCTGGGAGAGAAGCTACCCAACCATTGTGTTATTTCTGTGTTGCTGTTTTGCATCCTGAAAGAGTGTGATTTTCTGAGTTCTGGATAAAACCAAACCTAGCTGGTATTAATCACAATTCTAAGGAGCACTAAAGATCTAAAAAATTTATGAACATGCAAAACATGGTAAAGTAAGAATTGTACTTTAAAATGTGTGTTTAAACTATACATTTAGTATTTATACATTTTTCTGAAAACTGTGTCGTATCTGAATAATCCATCATATAATTAGTGATGATGCCATGGTGATCTAGTGGAATGTACCTGTACTTCCATGTAACTCCACTAAAATATATCAGAACGTGGTAGTGTGCACCAAGTCTAATGTGTATTTAATGTCTGGTTTTAGTCTACAGCGTCTGACATGAGATTTGAAGACACGTTTTATGGAGCGGATATTATCCTGGGAGAAAAGAAGAGACAGAGAGTACTGAGTTCCCGTTTTAAGAATGAGTATGTGGATGATCCAGGATACCGCACCTTCTTAAAAAGCTCGTTCCAGAAGAAGTGCCAGAAGGGGCAATAAAGGAAGTAATGAAGAGACGAAGGCAGACAGAAAGACACACACACACACGGTTTTAGACTGGTTATAGCTGACTAAGAAGTCAAGCAGCATTAGTTGCAATTGGTTTTGAGTTAATTAAGCACTTGGTTTTACAGTGAGGCAGTTTATACGTAAGCCTCGTCAGATAAAGTACTTGAGTTATTACTTCTTCAGTTAAGTAATAAAGATTTTGTAATACTTTTCATTTTGAAACTAGGAGGGAAAACCAAGTGAGAGTAAAACGGATTACACAGCGATAGACTGAAGAAAATTTTTGTTTGAAGTTAGTGGAAAAATTCTCTTTGAGTAATAGAAGATTCACAGTCAGAAGAGGAGACACTTTAATAAACAGAGACAATTGCACTAGCTCATTTTTTTCTGCCAATAGGGAAGGATGTTAGGTTTAATAATAGCAGTTTTTGTAAAACATTTTTAAGCAAATACAAATATGTACGGGATTAAGACAAACAAAATCAGTTTTGATTCGTACAGTGCTCTTCCTTTTTATGTCACTACTGCTCTCAGTAGGGTTTGATGTGGACTCAACTGTTGACTTAAATATTTTTGGCTTTTCAGAAAGGTATCTTCAGCACAGTAATGATTTTTTGTACATTTAAAGAGGCAGATTTCTGCAATTATTTTTGAACACGTTTTTCATAAGATCTATAAAAATAGCTATTTGTAAAATATAATTTTCTTTCATTTTCTGTATTGAAAATTAGAGTTTAAAAATATATGCTTAACAGGCTAGTTTTGAATGAATACAAATGGTCTTCCTTTTAAAATAATGGTCTATCACTGTAATAATATTTTAAACAAATATATAAATAAATGATTTCCTTTTACTTGCATCATTTTGTCTCTTGACATGATTATCAATTCCAGCACCTCTGGTACTTAAAGGAAGGAGAAACTTCACTATCTGCAGTAGACATGTAGTTTCCTGAACACAACACAAACACATGACTTAGTATTCAAACAGTAACTTGATAAATGCTTTAATTCCTTGTCTATTTCTCTTCACTCTTTGGGATCTTGATCTTTTTGCATATTTCACAGAAAACAGCATGTCTGAATGCATTTCCTGCCTATTTGTCTGAAACACTTTGGTTTGTGAAACCAGAAGAGAGCTTTATCAAAGTTACATCATCTGTTTCTTATAAACTGGCCCATCAGCAGGATTTCTGACTTCCTGCCACGGGAAAAAAAAACCACCTCTCTCAAAGTACAATTTGAGCACTGCTGTTTCTCAGGCTCTGCTTCTAATAAAGAACCAAAAAGCCATATATATCAATATATGAACCCAATGAATTTTTCATGACAAACCCAGTGCTTTGTTTGCTGAGGTGCACTGTTGCCCTTTGCAACGTTGTTGTTTCACTGTTGCCCTTTGCAACATTTTTATTTGTTTGTTTATTTTGAGTGGAGAGCAAAGTCTTCTCATCTACTGTGTGGCATCTCCACTATAAATTTAATTTTTCTGTGTTACATTAACTATTTATTATTTTGCAATGAAATCACTCAGAATCCCTTTAGTCTTAGAAATTGCTTAGCTGTGACAATCATAATGTATTTCTTACTGGCATATTTCTTTAGAGGTAGTGGGTTTCAGTGAGTACTGTCTGGCGTATTTCAGAATACCAGAGCTTTTTCCAGAGCTGTAAAAGAAAAATTACCAGGGGTACTGTACCAAAATGCAAGATTGCTGCCCTCATGATATAAATACAGCTGGTGGCTGGTAAGTTATTACATATAGTGTAAACACCAGTAATAACTTCTTGATATTAAGTTCCATAACACTGTTCAAGGATAAGAATGAGAGTGTGATCCATCCATCATAAAGGTGATAAGAAATATTACATTATTCTTCAGTTAAGTACATGTAAACACACTTTGTAAATAAATAAATGAGGCTGTGAGATACTACACAGGCTAAATGTTAAGTGCATGTTCTCTGACTGGATCTCATGACCTATTAGTCAAAACTGAATAAATAATTACCCTGTCTGTACAAAATGGATGTAGAATTTTTCTCTTCAGGTTCCTTGAGATCTGCTAATAGGAATAATTTCTGAATGTTATAAGGTGCTATAAAATAGCTGTCCTTCTTTTCCAGCTCTGGAAAAAGTAAGTCTGAAATGTACTTTTCTTGATTTTAAATAAATAAGTTCTTGAATATGAAAATAAATGTCCCTAGTTTTTAGTAGTGTAACTCATACATTTTAAAAATACAATTTATTTTCCATGGTGCCTTGTACTGATAATCCTTTGCTTTAAGTACGGAGAAATATTAGATTTAATCAACAGAATATAAAAGAAATTTTGTTTTAGTTTTTAAGCCACTGAGCTTTGTCTCTTGAGGTCCTCTGTATAATTGGATTTCTTGTTTCCTGAAGTATGAAATGTGGGACTGTATTTGCTATTAAGTGCAGAAACATTGACCTTGATTTTCCTGTTTTTGTCTCCTTATCTATGGAGCTGAGAGAATGATCTCATGAGGTGTTGGGAGGCTTTGTAGTTCGGTAAGTGCCAGATGCAGAGTGCCATGTAAAGAAGGGAAGAACATAGTTACTACTATTACAGTTTCATGCCTCCTGTCGCAAGATCTTATAGCACTTGCTAAACAATATTTACTAGGCATCCAGCCAAGAAAAAGCTTTCCTATCCTTTGCAGCTCTTCAAATTTGATGTATTTTTCAGTCCCATGTAAGTGGTGCTGATGTGGACCTTATTAGTATGTGTGAAGGCATGATGGTAAGTGATGTGCATATAATAGCTGGTATGCCAACTGCCAGGAACAGGAAGCTTGCCACTGTCTGAATGAATTTGAAATAGGTCGTTTATTGCCTATGTAGCCAAGTTCTCACTCCCATAAAACATTCCATTGATATTTTTGTCCTGCTTCTATGTCCAGAAATGTCTTTTCTGATGAAATAGCATCAGGCCATCACCAGTTGGCTTACAGGGAGGTCCAGTAGGAAAAGTGCAGTGTTACCTTTAAAGTCAGGCTGACTGAATCGTCGTGATTTTCCTAGAAGAGAGCTGCATACCTCCAAGAGAAACCACTCTCTTTCTATTACCTTAGTCCCACAGTAACAAAGTAAATTGTCTAGCACATTCAAAAATCCTGAAGGCTATGTGTGTGTGAGTGCAGAGTACACAAAGTACTGGCTTGACAGGCCAGGGTGCATTTTATTTTTTTCACCATATTCTCATTCATCTCAAAAATACCAAGGAAGAGACTTGAATACTTGAATTTATGCTGGCTTGTGAAGAAGAATATTTTAGCACTATGATTTCCTCAGCTATAGCTAAGGTTTGATAAAATCGCATTACTGGAATTAGATAAAAATTAGATTACTTCTCTTGAATCCTATTTGCTCTTGTATTACTACAGAAAAGCTATTTTGTTGGTGCTTAATAGGAGCTACAAAATGCATTGTGCTGTGCTACAGTGCTTAAAAAATTTCAATTAAAAGAGAAATTGATGAATTCCTGCAAAATCTTTTTGCTTTGAAGCTTGTTTACATTCTGCAGCTGTAAGTGAACAGCAGGCTTTTGCAACATATAGTATTATACCCTGACACTTAAAATGCAGCAAGATAAAAGCTGGCCCTATTTACATAGCTCCACCCTTTCTTATTTTGTGAGATGTTCTCCGGCATACCGACGGCAAGAGAAAAAAATGCAGATGAGGTAAGTACTGCTTAAATGATCATCTGGCTAAATAGCAAATACTTTTATTTGCTACCTGTTCTGCTTGAGTTAGGCATCTCTGTGTAGTGGCACAACCCCAACTGTTAACTTTGATAACATGTGATGGCAAAATGATAATTTTGCTTGGATGCATGAAATAATTCTTTTCAGCGTGTAAACATTGTAGCAGCATTTTTATTTCCCCTTAAACAACAGAAGTATTTCATGCCAGTGCTCAATAGCATATTAGCAGGAGGGACAGCTTATGTATGGTGTGTGAGATGAATCTATCCTACCCATATGCAGAAAAGTCACATTCATCTTTTAAAAAAATACCAGAGCCATCTGAAAAGTTTACTGCATGCCTTTGAACTTCAGAAACCATCTCTGAGCGATCATCTTGAATCCTGAATACCTCAGATAGGAGTCTTCTGTGATATATCTAGTGAAAATAAAATGAGTGATGATATGGTGGAGTATAAAGGTTGCAATGGAGTTAATCCAAGGTGTTGTATATACTGCCTGCTTGGTTATGGTTTCACAGTTGCTACCAGACCAAACTGTTCCGCAGCCATGCTGCTGAAACATTATTCTCAACAATTTAATGTGTTTCCTATATCTAGATTTGTAGGCAGGGCTGGTAGCTGCCAAATCTTTCTTCTGTAAGTAAGCTTTTGTTCAGTTGCTAATAACTTTGGCAGTGTCGGTAGCCTACAGCTGAAACTTTTGTTTGTCGATAGCTGAAAAACATCAGAGAACTCAAAGCTGTTTGTTAATTTGGAAAAACGATACTGGGGAAGATAACCTTTGGTCCTTCTCTCTGGAATGGGACCATTTGACTGAGTGTTACGCTTGAGTGCTCCATGTGGAGGGGCTTTAAGATTGGAGCAGCCATTTGCCACCATGCATATCCAGCCCCAGTGCCCTTTTGCTGTGACAGAGCACACTGCATGCACAGTGCCACTGCCATCACACTGGGACTCACCTTGCCAGGGCTGCAAACTGGGAAGGCCTTTTCCTGTCCTCTGGAGTTACTTAAGTGGAGGGCAGAGAAGTGCTCTCTGTTGTTGTCGGTGCCTTGCTGGGTGTTACTGCAGTAGAACAAGAAAGCAGGAGAAAGAAAACAGATAAACCTGCCTTCTGAGGAAAAAAGGAAAAAAAAAGGAAAGAAAAAGAAAGAATTAAGGCAGATAGGGAGCATTCATGGAGCTGGAAGGGGAAGAAAGAGTGGGATGAGATTCCAAAAAAGAGATTGGGTCATAGTCCTCTGCAGAACCCAGGATGCCCGAGGCTCAAATTTCTTCTGGTATAAGCAAATGGCTGTGAAATGTACCAGCAAATTACTGGCAGGTTGCCTATAGGAATAGCTGTTCCTGATGCCAATTACTGCATCAACTGAAGGAGCAGTCATCTTTATTCTCCCAAGGACTTGATCCTCCTGTGCATAGAGGGAAAGGCAGCTACATGTTACAAGTTTTAAAATACGCTTATGTCTTTATTTCTTTATTTATTTCAGATTGATCATCAGAAAAAAAAAAAAAAAAAAAAAAAGCAACACAACAATGTGCATTTGTATGCATTTCAATTTCTGAGCCAGAGTAAGGTTGCAAAATGAGGTATACAGCAAATGCCAGAATTTTCCCAAGAGAAGGAACATCATGTTTGAAGCCTCCTTATCTGCTTCTTACAGATCTAGTCACTAGAGCAACCGTGGGGAAGAATCACCATAGTGACTCTCTGGGATGCACAGGAGTTAAAGCAAGTAAGAATGGAGATGCACTGCATTCCCGAAGGGCATTTCTTGACACAGTACTAACGGTTGATGGCAATGTCATGCTGCATTATTGAGGAGAAAAGGCTCAAGGAACAATGTAATGGAACAAAATTATCTTCAAAAAGTTTCTGTGTCTAAAAGTAGTCCTCTGCAATCCATATGCCTCGCTGCTCCTCTGTGTGCCTGGGCAGTGGGATGATCAACAGAGCTGTTCGTTCTGTCCAGTGCTGAGAGAGCAACCCAGGGTGACTTGCATGGCCCTGTTGTTTCCCTTGGAGTCTATTGAGTGAAGGCAGGACAGGAGAATTACTTAT